CCCCCCCCCCGCCCCCCCCCCCGCGCCCCGCCGCTATCGTCGCCGCTACCGCTGTCGCCGCTATCGTCGCCGTCGCCGCCGTCGCCGCCGCCGCCGCTGTAGCTTTCTGTAAAAAATAAGAAGTAATACGAGGGTCGTCTGAAATGTTTTGAGCCTAACACAGAAACAAGTAATTTTTCGGTCAAATTCAATTTTATTTTTCCACATATGGTATATAAATGTACGATACATGAAATGAAAAAAATAATAGCAATACGTAATAAATGGTATTACATAAAACATAATAGTACTACTTATATAAAAGTAAAAAACATGCATGACGGAATTATAATTATAATTATAATTCTAATACATAATAGTAATACATATTCACTGTATAAAAATATAAAAAATGGTGAAAAAACATACACGAAGTACAATTAGAGTAATACATATGAAAATTGTAATACATAAAGCAAAATAATAATACATATTCAGTGTATGAAAATATCAAAAATGTAAAAAACATAATAGTAATATAAATGTTGATACATATAAATTACAAAGGTATCCGCCAATGTCTCCACGGTAACGTCTCCGTCGAGTCCGATACGACGTATCGTTTGTCATCGTATGGACTCAGAGCAATTTTCGATTCGGATATCGCGTATACCTCGTACAGTTTAGATCTTATACACGATTGACGACGAGTCATTTCAATCTCTTCGTTCAAACACCGCGTGTAATCGTCGAACGTTATCGTTTGCGCTACGACGTTACTCTTTACGCCTTTCGCTTTTTTCGTGTCCTTTTTGCCATCCACCCTCACCGCGTACATCTTCGCTCTGAGACCAACGAATTCGGTCATTATCGCACCATTATTTTTGTCCTTCATCAGACCTGGTTTCTTTTTGTTCGCGAGAGGCATACCGTACGCGTTGTCGGTTGGATAATCGCTCGTGTCGAATCTAGCAATATCGCGTTTCATAGTCTCGTAAATGTCCTCGCACTCGACGCGGTATATAAGACTGTTTGTGTCGGTGTACATAATTTTACATTTGTCGCGAAACAGTGGTAACATATACTCAGGGATGGGAAAGTTACTTTGTAAAAGTAATTAATTACAGTTACAGTTTTTCTCTTTCAAAAAGTAATTAATTACCGTTACAAGTTATCGATTCTGAAAAGTAATTCGTTACAGTTACAGTTACTGAATAAGTAACTTTAAGTTACTTTTAAGTTACTTTTTTCGTCGGAATTTTTACTGGTATCGATATCATTAGGGCTGTATTCAGAAATGTTATCCAACTGCCTTCATGTATCATTTTATCCTTGTTTTTCACCTAATATTAAACAAGGATGATACACGGGGTCATCAGAGTAATGCAGCCTAGGCATCGATATCTAGAATGGACCGCTGATGGCAATGGTGGGGGTAGAAAGACGAATAGAGTGAGAGGCAAAAATAACATGATCGTTCCATCTCTTTTCCGAGCAGGAGCCTAGCACGTAACAGGGCCCTACACTACTGTTGGATTAACAACAACCATGGTATTTTTTTAAATACCCAAGAGAAAAAACTTAATGCTTGGTACGTCAGGGAAAAAAAGAGATTGGATTCTAAACTCACTTGGTTGTTACACAAAAAAGAAAGATTGTTACTGGCAAACATAGCACCAATTCGTTATCAGTGTTGTGACCTTGACGAATCCGATAATGGCCCACATCCTAACGGTCTTCAAATGTGCAATAATAATGATTGTTCCTTTATTGATCCTCGACCTGAGACACATGAATGTCACACCATTATCATTCCAACTGAACTGTTTATGCATCCTCATACATCTTCCCTAACGAATATTAGAGAAAAATGGTTCGTGAATTTATCGTCCATAGAGATTCCTTATGACATCCAATGCTTTTTACAGTTGGGAGAGGGTTTTGCACTGCCTTATAACAAAAAAAGTAACATCGTGCTTGAATGTATTAAAAGCGTGGAGAATAGCACTTTAAGAATGCCTATCAATCGTAAAGTCATGGTTACTAACAACACTAATTTTTCACTATTTCATCAATGCAATTATATTAGCCAATTAGTAATGTGAGCAATTGATATACAACCATAAATTAAGTAATTTTATGTTTTTGAAAATGTTACAATTTAAGCGATCTTTTAATTATGGAAGATGTAGAAAATATAGATGCAGAAAGTTTGTTTACTCTTCTACCACATTATAAATGTCTGACAATGATACATACATCGAATCTTATCTCGGTAAAAGATTCTGAGAAAGTGCGATGTACGAGAAAAAATATAGAATGAGACATTTTCTAAACTATATGTAGTAAAACTCTTATTTAAAAATAACAGAACACAATAAAATTAACAAAATACTTTTTATTTAAACCTTCTTGAACAGCTGTAATAAGCGCCTGACAATGAGTAAATCCGTTTTTGTTGAATTTTTCCATTTTTTCTTGTAAAGTTTTCAGAACTGGTAGTAAAAATCCCATCCCTGTTTCTCCCTGTATTATATCCAAAGCTCGGGCCAAAGGTTCCATAATCTAATCGAAATAAAAAAGTGAGATACATTCCACTAAAGGACCCCGCACCATTCTTATGGGAAAATGTCTTTCGGCGGATTTGGTTCATTTTTGGATATGTTGTAGATCTCGTTGTTCTGAACAAATATCTCAATGGGCTCATCATGATTTTGTGAGCTGTTTCCGCTCATAGGATCATGATAAGCCCATTGAGACATTTGTTCAGAATGACCAAAACTACAACATATTCAAAAATCAGCCAAATCCGCCGAAAGACATTTTCCCATAAGAATGGTGCGGGGTCCTTTACATATTAGTATATTACTATCTAGATGTACCTGACAATATTCTTCTAGGAATTTAATTTCATTTTCTGTTAGTCTTTGCAAATTGCAATAATCCAAACACTGATTAATTTTTTCGGAATCATTTTTCAAAAGTTTTACTAGTTGTAGTACTGAATCAAAAGTAGAGTTCCATCTGTATTAAAATAAAGATTAGAAAATGAGATAAAAATTTAAATAACTATTTTTATTATTTTGAGACGAAATTATATATATATA